TTTTTTTTTTTTTTTTTTTTTTTTTTTTTTTTTTTTTTTTTTTTTTTCTTGCTTTGGAATACTTTTATTGGTGCGATCAAATACTGTTGCAAAGTCAAGGAGGAGTTTTTTTTCAATTTATGGTGTCTTACTGGAACTGACTGGCATACGCTAATGTATTTGCAGAAAGTTTTTGGGTACCCAAAAAGTGCGATTTCTAAATTTTTTCCCTCGTTTCTCTTGACATTAATATTTATGTACGTCCCGCAAAAGATTTATTGACATTCAAGTGAATGCAGATTAAAAATAAGCAAGTGCATTCGAAAATACGAAATTTTTTTTTTTTTTCATCAGCAGAGAAGAGATCGACATGTATGTTGGAGACAGTTTTTGTTTATTATTAATGAAAGGAAAAAAAAAAAAAACTAATAATCATATTTGTTATTACGACAAAACAATCATCTGACGGGTAAAAAAAAAAACACAGACCAAGCAATGAAAAAAAGTTTGTGCGTAGTAATTTAAAAACATACTTGTTCAACTTTTTCCCAAAAAAAGACTGTAGAGAAAAAAAAAAAAAAAAAAAAAAAAAAAAAAAAACATCAATTTTCAACGGATGAAAACCTTATACGATACGACAAAGAGGGGTTGAACGATCAATGATGAATAAATTAGTTTGGCCAACCCTTTGATGTATTGTACCGCGATGAATAATAATTACCTTTGAGCGCTGTCGCAGCGACGACGTTTCTGCAAGCCATGATGACCCTAGCCCCGCGTTTCGCGAGATCGCGAGCAGTTTCGCGGCCAATGCCGGAGGTACAGCCAGTTATGAGGACCGTTTTGCCCTTCATGTTGGCCCGGCTCTTGCACACTCCGGTCGACAGGTACACGTACAATCGCAGGAGACCCAGCAGGAATATTACACCGCCTATCACCGCGGCTGACAGCACCAGCAGGATTATCGAGCACGACCACAGCGTCAGGTACTGCATTGTTTGCGTATAATATGATATGGTCGTGGATGCAGGTGTGATGATGCTTGTATGGATGAGATGACGATCGTCGAGTTTTTTAAATGTCTGCAAGGTGAAAAAAAAAAAAAAAAATAATGATAAAATAAAAAAATAGTTGCATTCGTTGGTGAGTAGTTGAGAAAAATCTTTTTTTTTTCTTATTCTTCAAAGTTATAAAAAAACGAGATATGCCACCTTTTTTTCAATAAAACGTCGATTCGTTTGCTTTGCGAGAAAAGGACCATTATAAATGATGCAACCATACCGAACGAATATTTAATGAGATACATATTGATTGATACCCTACACGAGGATGAAAGGAGAGCACGTGTCAATGTAATAATAACAAAACAAATAAAAAATGAAAAAAAAAGAAAAAAGTGCCTTATTCAGTCGAATGAATTGAATGTCTATACCTAATACTCCAAATGCAAATAATCGAGATGTCGAGCGTTTTGACGCGAGCTTTCCTACATAATATGTGTACATGTGATGAAAAACAAAACAAAAAGAAAAAGAAGCGGCAGAGTAGCACTGCAGGTGCAGAAGGGGCTTTCTCAATCGCGTTCCCGTTTCCCGGATGCAATCGTATACCTTATATGCTTACCCGCTCACGTTCTCTCGTATATTTCGCATTACCGGTATATACATAAATATAGGTGCACCGAGTCCGGCTCATTTGCATTTTGGTACACACACACACACACACACACACACACACACACACCGTAAGTAAACGAATAAGAGATTACGATAGCAGCGCAAAATTGCCCAATCACTCATCATTGCCTCGGAAAACTATGTACTTAGTTGTAAAAGGAGTGATATCACGAAACTACAGCTTCCTTGTTCGGGTGCTGTGACGCGCTCGTGGGAAAAACACCCGGGGACTCCCCGTACCGCCAAATATATACTTATCCATAACTCACGAGGGTACCTTTATCACAGTGTGAAAATACATTTTAAACGAAAAAAAAAAAAAAAAAATTCACCAAAAAGCGTAAAACTTTCCTAAACACACGGTTTCATATAGAGAAATTGACGGGATTTTCCGCGATTTCCAATCAAATTAACTAACAGTGCGTGCGTATACGTCTGGGGAGGAGAGCGCGTAAGATATAGCCTTGGCCGTCGAACTTGGCGAGTAAAAGTATACCTGTATAAGTATGGATGAGGAGATAATATTATATACTTAACTTTCCAAACTTTCTCCTCGCGCACACGCGGATGCCGTTAATTAAGTACACGAGATGCTGTATAATAGAATACAGGCATTTTAATATGCATGTATATGCTATACATGCATTTGTCGTATTGGCATGAATGCGAGAAGAGAGGAAATATTTGGGTGAACATTGAAAGAAAAGATCGGGATGCATATATTTTCAATTGTACTGTCAAGGTGAATGGCAACCGGTTGCACGCGTGTATGTGCGTGTGTGTGTGTGTGTGTGTGTGTGTGTGTGTGTCTTTATCCTATTTACACGTTAGAAAAAATTTTCATCGTTACTAATTCATCACTTTTATAGTAGTTTTATGTTGCTCATTATTGTTTTTTATAGAAAAGTTAAAGTGTACATAAATGCTATGCTTTTTTTTTACGATACACGCAATCGTCGGGATGATGAATTTGTATTTTTTGCCAGTAAAATGTGTTTGCTTTTTGAGCTCTCGTTCGTGAAATAAGAAGAAAAAAAAAGGAGGATGCAAAAACTTGATAATAAAACACACGAGCACTGTCTCATTAACATGTTGGCAATAATGACAATCGACATTTTTTTTTGTTAACAATTTTCTCGGAAATCATTTCTCGAAGCAAATCATTATTATGGGCCATTCGTCAATTAAAATCATATAAGAGTGTATTTTTTTTTTAACGATTACGGTACACTTGATGACTTATTGTTACAAGCAACACTTGACCGATCGTTTACAAAAGAGGATAATTTCACAATATTAATTTAAAAAAAAAATCTCATCTCGCAACTTGTTTGGCGTTTACTTAAATTCTTTCATTGATTTTGCATTTATTTTATCCAAAGGATAAACTGCAGGATGGTGTCGTTTACGAATTTTCAACGAAATCGGCACTGTATCGTGTACGAAAAATATATATTTTTCACTTTACCAAAATAGCTCCAAAATCCTTTTCTTACCGATACTCGCATACTCACCGATCTCGATACCAAAAAATGAACCAAAAAAGTTAAAAAAAAAAAGCCGCGTACGCGTCTTACAAGTATAGGATGCGAAAATACGGTACTCACAGTTACACTGGCGATCCTAGCTTCGGGACAGCTTGAGAGCGTCTGCTCGAGCCGGTTCGGTCGAGTAAAGAGATACTTACGGTATATACCTTCAATCTTACCAAGTTCGCTATACGTGTATATGATGAGGGGAATGGAAAAAAAATAGAGAGAGTATAGCCAGCTGGTTGGTGCGGCAGGTAAGACGTTTCCCGTGTATATGCCTGTGTATACGTTGGAGACTCCACGAAAAGATTCCTGCACCTTTTGTGAGTTTTTTTCAGTTTTTTTGAGGAAAGGCAATCGTATGTTCCAAATGAAAAAAAAAGAGAGAGAAAACGTTTTGAGTTACTTTTTTTTGCCAACCCTAAAAATCTCTAAACATTGATACAGAGCTACGTATATATGACAAGACCCAGAGGTACAAAAAATATTTTCCTGGGTCAGGATTTTTCATGGGATTTTTCGTATGTTTAAGCACACGTATACAACCTGTTTTGCTTTGAACTTTTGCGCTCGTTGTTTTTATGAGAGCTGTACCTACTCCGATGATTTTTGACGATGCGCTGTGTAGGATCAACATTTTTTGACACTACATTGTGTTGCCGGAATTGAATGAGGATACTTTTTCTATTTTTTTTGCGATACATAATTTTTTATGCATTGTTAGCGATGAAAAAAATTTTTTCAAGCACCACTTTTAACCCCCAGTACTTGACGAAATTGTTTACAGGATAAACGATGAATTACACAGTACTATAATAGTAACATAATAGTCAAAGTACTTGAAAAAATTTTTATGTATTTGTTGATTTCAAATATTTTACGATAAACGTTAATATTTAAAATGTATTACGTTTATTTGCCTTAAAAAAAAATTTTTTTTTCCTATATTGCATTGTTAATAGTGACGAATGACAATTTTTTTTGTTTAGCAAAAAAATGCACTTAAGCCTGGAAAACGAGTGTGGAAAATTCCATAAAATAATTTTACCCACATGTGTCTTTTGCTCGTGCAGAGTGTGAGGACGGGAAGAATCTTTTACTTTTTGTTCAATCGGTTGCTCAAGAGAACGGGTGTTTATATATTTTCGCAAGTAAGCCGAACTATAGGTTTTAACACCTTTGAGATTTAGTCGTATTCTAAAGATGTGAAAATATATTGAATTTGTTTTTCACTTGAAATATTGCATCAATGTATAAATAATGTAAAAATATACAAATAATGTTAATATATAATATGATGTAAAAACAGTGAGTTAGGATTTAAAATTATATGAATTCTTATATTACTTTGACTTTATATTTTAGGGTCTGTCGGCTGAAGGTTCACGAGGTTCTCGCTCAACTCCCAGAACTTTTTACCTTTGGCTGGATCGCTGACACCTGAAGACAAACTGCTCTCCTAAAAACGAAAAATATATCTACGTTGAGTATGTAATTTTTTTATACTACTTTTATAAATTAAAAAACCCATTGTAGTTCTGTTTACGTAAAAACAAAATCATGTGATTATAATTATGAAAATATTACTATCAACCAAAGTTTTTTTTCCTTCCGTCAACTCGAAGAAATCCCAAACTCATCGTTGAAAAAAAAAAAAAACCCTTTATTTTATCCGCACAAAAAAAGTGCCATAGATTTGTACAAAAATCAGTGTATATGCAAAACAAAAGCAAAAACAAGGCCGACTCTAAAAATACACATCGTACAAAATCCTTATCTCACGTAAACACGTCAGAAACGAGTGTTCAAGGTACTCAAAATTTTTAAAAGCCACGCGAGCGATAGAAAGAGATTCTAATGCATGGAAAAAAGACAGAGGGCGAAGGTAGAAGCACGAAGTGTTCAGGATAAGGAGATAAAAAAAAAAAGAAAAGAAAAAAGGTAATTAAATTTGAGTCCTCGGTCTTCGCCACGCTTTACCACCGCACTCGATACTCATCCTGGACGAGTGCACGGTTTCGGCGGCGTGGTAATGCCCGTGGGCGCCGTTACTGCAACGATAGAGCTCGTTTTCCAGGCAGGCGATTTTCGCGTCCTTGAGCTTGATCGTGCCCTCGAGAAAAGCAACCTTGTGCCGCAGCGTTTTAATGGCCTCGCTATTGTGCTCCGTAATACCGATCGGCTTCAGGTAGATGTTGCGAATCTCCCGCTCCTCGCCGTCTGTCGGAACCATACACAAACGAGAACGTGTTTACCGATCTGTTCTATTTTTTTTTTTTTTTTCCCCTCAAAAAGTTAATTCATGTGCGGTAACGCCGATACCCTTGAGACGCCTTTGAGTTTTTTCGGCCGAATTTCCGGCAAACCACCTCCAAAAGCACACCACCGCGAGTATCGCCCTGAACAGTCCGACGAAGAGACCGGCCACGCAGTCGATCGACCACTTGAAGATGGATCTGTTTTTCACGGAGATCTTTTTCAGGGTCAACTCCACGGCTACGAAAAAACAAAAAAACAAGCTCAACCAGGGGGGTACGGATCGGTAAGGTGGGGAAAAGCTCACCAGCGTTGTTGTCGACGAGATCGGTAGTGCTCTGGTCTACTTTGGTGTCGTGCGAGACGAGCTTTTGGTTGCGCAAGTCGAGGAGGATCCTCTCGATCGCGCCCCCCTGCGAGTGCACCAGCTGGTCTATCGTCTCCGGGCTCAGGCGCATACCGATCTTCGTGAGAACTTTGCGGTTCAGGACGTTCCAGTTGTCCCGCTTGCCCTGCATGCTGTTCGACTTTATGTAATTGTGCGACGCCACGATTCCCGGGTAATAGAACTTGAGGACCTCCGACATAAGTACTGTAATTTTGCGCTAATGTTTATTTTTCACCCACCGCGAGACGATGCCTCGAAAATTGTTAATTGTACGATCGTTTGGCGCGCCCACCAACCATCGATACTCCGTTGATGTAAATTCAATTCTTATTTTTCGATAAATTTAGCCATCAAATATTAAAATCAGATTCACCGACAGGATTGATTTTTACAAAAAAACCGCATAGCACAAAAATCGTTAACCGATCGACACGCGACTCTAGGGAATGATAATAATAATAATAGTGGTAAAAAAAAAAAAAAACAAAGAAAAGAAAAGAAAGAGAAACAGTGGGCAAACGACCGGCATCGGAAAAATCGCGAGCAATGCTCCGGCCGACGACTTTTTTGGTCAAGGGAATCCCGTCGATCCAATCGAGGACCTCGTCCAGCTTGGAGGGCGGCTCGTTGTTGCGGTAAAAGGTGTCCTCGCTCCTCGACTCCGACATCAGCTCGTCCCTGGACGATGGCGTCCCTTGATTGGTCATCGCGACGGTCCCTGTTTTTTTTTTTTTATCTCTTCTCGTGATAATATAACCGTCGATCGAGCGCTCCCATTTACAAGCCAGAGCAACGGGGAAGCGACGCTTTCTTCGATTTCATCTCGTCGGAAAAATTCGTGCGCTGCCGATGAATTGTTTACTTGGGTAATTTTCGCTCGATAATCGGTCGATTTTATCAACAACAAAGGGATGGAAAGGATTTTTATATTTACCATTAACGTGCGTGACCCCGTTTGAGGTTTTTGGGTTGTGAGGTTACCGAGAGAAACACGAGTGTTTTTTATTTTTTTTTTTCACCGTACATCATATACATACGTGTTTCACGTTAATTGCAGATGTCGGAGGTTTACGAAGGTCGTGTTTGCATTTTAATCGCTTTCTCGGGGTCATTTTTTTTTTCTTCCTCGTGAACTACTTGCGAAATTTTTTTTTTTTATTATTTACATTCAAAACATTTTGTTTTCTTCATACCATTGTGTGGCATTGCATAACATAATTTGACAATTCAAATTTCATCCATACAAAATGGTCTAATCGAGTATGAAGATGTGATTATGTGTATTTTTTTTCTCTCATTACCAATTGATATCGTTAATTCCTTGGGAACATTCGAAAACATACAGTATAATTAGTTGTGTCGATGCATAATACAACTTGGTGCATTCAACAAATAGAACTAGGGCATAGCGTAGTTGATTTTATTTTTCTTTTTTTCTTTTAATGTTTCATTTATGCTAGTGGATTTTTATCAAACAAGCGCCAAATGAATATGTGGACCAATAATATAAAATAATCCTACCAAACTATTGTTCCAATTATTCGGAGAATGCCCTTTTTTGTTTGATTAAACAATTTTTTTTTTTTTTTTCATTGTTAAATTATAATAACAATATGTTTCATAATTAAAAGCTGTTCCTCTGGATAATAACGATTTTCAATTCAATTTTCTCCCGCGCTGCTCCTCCTGTCATCTTCCCAACCAACCAAACCCGAAAAAAAGTTTTGTCAGTTTGTCGACTGCTACAATTTTGCACGTCTGCCGCTGCTGCAGTCTGCGCACCGAAAGAAAGATCACATTCATCATAATGAGTAGGTATTTACTCTTTTTATCTGCAAAAACACGCAATTATCAATTATTATTTAAGTTAGAAAGAGAAAAGTGCATCTCTTTCATTTAACGTGGTAATGTGTACCTCATCTTTAAACCCTCGATAAAATACGAATAATAACAATGTCGCGAACTCGGTGATACTGTCGGTTGTGATTATTTTCACACCTTGCAATATCAACAAAACCGTAATTGTTATACCCTTTATCACACATATTCCCTTTCATCCCATATTTTATACACAAAAATCTCTCAAGTATGGAAGTGCTGGTAAAGAATCTCAAGATTAAATACGTTCTCACGTGCATTGCCGTCACTTTCGTCGTTTCTCTTTTTATCAGCCTGGCTCCTATAAACGTGGGTAAGTTTACTTATTTTTTTTTTTTTAATAAATTTACAAAAAAAGTATCTTGAATGTGTTTCTATACAAATGAAATCGGAAGAAAGTTTTTTTTTTTTTTTTTTTTTCTAATCGTTACATTTTCACTTAATGTAGGTTGTAAGAAATCAAAAAAAATATTCTCAACATCTCCTAATTTAGAGCAATGCAAGTGCGGTAAAACTGAAGAGACTGATATAGATGAACGTCATGTCCATAAAAGTGCATCCAAGCATACCAAACACCGGCTAGCCATATTAGTGCCATTCAGGGATCGTTTCGAAGAATTATTGATATTTGCGCCTCACATAAAGTCATTTCTTGATAAGCAAGATATTAATTACCATGTATTTATTTTAAATCAGGTATGTCTGAAAATTCAACGTTCAACATGATACCTTGTTGTCACCATGAGAATGAAAAGATTGATTGAGTGAATTTATAAAATTTACAGATAGATAAGTATAGATTTAATCGTGCTTCTTTGATAAATGTTGGATTCTTGGAAGTAAAAGGAGAATTTGATTACATTGCCATGCACGATGTAGACCTTTTACCCATGAATGATCAGCTGAAATATTACTACCCAGAGACTGGACCTTTGCACATTTCATCTCCAGAACTACATCCAAGATACCACTATCCAACTTTTATTGGTGGTATTTTGCTTGTGAACAGGTTAGTGCACGAATAATATTATTTTTTCATTATTTTTGGATATCTTCAAGTATATTATAAAATTATCTGCTTTATTTTGTAGGAAACACTTTTTGAAAGTAAATGGAATGTCTAACAAATATTGGGGCTGGGGTCTGGAGGATGATGAATTCTACGTAAGACTGAAAGAAGCTGGACTCAACGTTACTAGACCACCAAATCTTCTAACTGGAATACAAAGTACTTTTAAGTAAGAAAAAACTTTTTTTTTTTTGCTCATATTTTTACAAAAACGACTCTTGTTAGCTGTAACAAAGAATCATATTCCAGGCATATTCATGACAGAAATCATAGAAAGAGGGATATGGCAAAATGCTTCAATCAAAGGGAAGTCACGAGAAAACGTGATAGGCAAACTGGTCTGAACAATGTAGCTTACAAAATAGAAAATACCATCAATGCTAAAATAGAAAATACTTCTATTACAATTTTAAATGTTATGTTAACGTGTGATAAATCGATTACACCTTGGTGCTTGTGTGATATGCTCAATATTGTCAGTGATAAAAAAATTAAAAATCAAAGTAATCTAAAAACAAATGTTTATAGGTAGTACGAGTTATTTAAGAAGAACATAATATTTTATTTTTAAGATACTATTGATGTTTGTAGTTAGATATGATTTTTACATGTATTTCATAAAAAAATACTTGAGTCATCTTATTGTAAAACGACAATTTCACATCACTAGTGATAGTTTTTTAATTTCATCGTGGTGTAAGAAAAAAAAAAAAAATTGTCTTGTACATTACCTAATATTTAAGTCTGACGAAAAATCTATTAAAGAAAATTTTATTTAAAAATGTGTTCATTCTATAAACATAGTCAACTGAAAAAAAAGAAGGTTTTTGTTGGTAGTACAGAGAAAAAAAAACACAATCAAATGTCATTTTAACCTCTGCTACTAATTGAGAAGAAAAATCCCTTTGCCTTGAAAAAAATGCCGACTCCACCGGATGTAACAAGGATTTACAGGCACATAGATTCTCGTAAAAAATGCTACGTCGACGAATTGAGGGAAATCGTGAAAATTCCAAGTATCAGCTCAGATCCAACAGCAGCTAATCACTTAAAAAAACTGATAAAATGGACGACAAGTAGATTAAAAAACCTGGGCTTTAACCTCGTTTTGAAGACACCGGATTACAAAACATACAAGGTATTGACGTGAAAATATTTTTCCTGCGTAAATGTGCACATTCCATGTTAATACGATTTCACAGGGTAACAAACCAAACGTCATAGTAGGAATCCTTGGAAAAGACCCAAAGAAGAAGACCCTCTTGTACTATTGTCACCTGGACGTTTTGAAGGTCCAAAGGGCAGAATGGAAAACGGAGCCCTTTCAATTGACGGAAAAGGACGGAAAGCTCTACGGACGCGGTACGGCGAAGATGAAGGGACCCTTTTTGTGTTTTATCCATGCCATCGAGTGCTACCTAGAATTGGGCATCGAACTGCCGATCAACATAAAAATAATATGCGGTGAGCAAAACAAGCAGTGACTCATCCTCGGGTGGATTAGTTTAATATTCTGTTGCGCATCAGAATCGATGTACGAGTGTCGGAGTAAGGGACTCCAGAGTATTTTGGACGAGGTGAGGACGACCTTTCTGCCGAGTGTTGATTGCGTCCTGATGACCGAGAGCAAATGGCTCGGTAAGGACTATCCGTGCATCATCTACGGAACGCGAGGTGTTTGCTACTTCAATTTGACGATCGACGGACCGGGTAAGGATCTTCACAGCGGGGATTTCGGTGGTGTCGTGCGCGAGCCTATGCAAGACCTGCTCTTTATCCTCAACAAGTGAGTGGAGATGGTTCTTGCTATTCTTTAGGATTTTTTTAAGGGATCACCTTGTGGTTGATGAACTTGATGTTCGATGAGAGTGGGCTGTAGCTGTTGAAAAAATTCAAGATACGACCAAGTGAACACCGATTCTCATAAAAATGCGGCAACTCGAATTCAAATTTTTTAAATTTAGCGCTCTCTCTTTTTTTCCTCTTTCACCTCTCCGGGACATGAGTGGGGGTGCGTTCCGAAATCAATTCAAGCTGTTCAAACGCCTTCAAACTACAAACTAAATTTAAATGATGTCGGGGTGCCATTTAACATGGAGGTTTTTCGGAACAACGATTCCCCCCTTCCTTTTTTTTTTGTGTCAATGAGAGAGAGAGGGCGGCGAATAATGCAGTCTGCTGTCTGCTGCTTTCGTTGCTCCGCCGCCTCATGCGACAGTTAAGTTGGAAAAAACAAGAACAAGCGTTAGTTATAAACAAATGACCTGCGTATTGTAATATCTCTTTGTGGAAGTAACCTTTACTTGCATTATTAAGACTATTATTGAAAAACAAGTTCAAAAATAATCTCAAGAAAAGTTTCGAAACCGGTACTGACTGAGGTTACTCCAGGAGTCTCGAGAATATAATTTACATATTTATACACGCGTTGATCGCAGCCGCTGTTCTTACATCATCTTTCTTTTTGTTAAAATATTACATGAACCTGACAATGATAATTATTTAAACTCATCAGGTTTGTTAGGTTAGGAAGATTGTGCATGTATGAGTACTGCTTGACGTGTGCAAACCATATAGGAATTGAAGCAACTCTCACGGTGAATAAAATTCAGCAATCATGAATATGAATAACAACAGTGGTATGAACAAAAAATGGGGATACCCTGTGAATCCAAACTACTATGCCGCTAAGAATCAGCATCAGCAACAACAGCAAAACACCAATAGGATGGGTCAAATGTCATATCAGCAGCCCCACTCGACGTACCAGCAGTATCAGTCACCTGGAGGATCTGAGCGTTCGTATTCCAATGCACGGGGAACAGGACGGTATGCGCCCTACGGTGCACCAAACACCGGGAATTACAAGCCAAGACCAGCCGCAACGGGTACGGGTTTTTACAATCGTCAGCCGAAAATGCAAAACACGCAGGCGAGCAGACCGGCTCCTGTGGAATCTCCGAACAATTATTATAAACAGGATACAAGTAGAAATATGAACAAACCAGAAAACAGTGCCTTCACTGGTATGGGTAAACCTAAGCCAGTGAAAAGAGTAACTAACAGAGCCGCTGCCACTTCAACTATAGCGAATAAGTCGGCTATTAGTGCTGCCTTGTCGAGCCTAGCTAAACAAGTGTTGGATAATTTCAATAATAAACCATTGGGTATGAAAAATACTGTTTTATCGTCTGACGCAGCAAAATCTGCAAATGCTGTCGAAGCACCTGTTACTGCTAGAAGGAAGAGAAAAAGGGGTATCAGTAAAACTCTGAAAAAGAGGCTCACCATCACTGCCTTGTTTAACTACCTGGGAAGGATAAATGAGGAGCATCTCAAGTTGAAAAATCTTAAGAGGGAAGCTGAGGATCTAGCAGAGTCGCTTACTGTAAAAAAGTCAAGAATGGACAAAGATGAAGAGGAGATGTCTATTGATAAAAGCAACAGAGAGGATACAATTGTTTCTGAAGATAAAACTATTTTAGATCACGGAGAGGATGCTCAGGAGCCTGTGTCAATACCAAAAGAAAATCAGATCGAATCTAGTAGTGAGAATTTACAAGATAATGTAGAAGAGTGTAATGAAGAAAAAAAAGAAGATATAGTAGAAGTGCACGATGAAGAGAAAAAAGAAGATAAAACAGAAGGGGATGAAAAACAAGAAGATAAAATAGAAGGGGAAGAGAAACAAGAAGATAAAATAGAAGAGGAAGAGAAACAAGAAGATAAAATAGAAGAGGAAGATAAAAAAGACGTTATAAAGGCTAATGAGCCACTAATACAGTTTGAGCATTTTGGCAAGTTGTATTCAGTCCCAGTATTTAGGCTGAATCCCAAAGTAATGATCGTTATACATGAGAATCATCCTCACCAAGTGCTCGAAATTACAAATTTTAATGCGTTTAGAAGCGCAGTTGCGGAAGAGATAGATACAATGCCCATGGGCACTTGGCCACAATTCGAAAAGTCTTACTACAGCCAAGGGATGTACATCATCATAGGTCTGAATGATTATAGCAAAAGCTGGATGTTCAAGCATTTTGGTGGTATAAAAAAACGTTTGCACCAGCCTGTAAAAATGGGCGAGCTTTATGATATTATTCAAGTTCAGGTCCATCTACCTAACAACATATATGACCCAGAGACGTTCCTCCGACGTTTAAATGGTTACAATCCTAAACTTGTTACAACCCACTGGCGTATCGTGGGCGCGGAAAATGTCGACAAATACGCTGTGACAGCAAAACCATTGAGAAACCCAATAACGATCGAGTTACCGGAAAGAGACGATTACAAGCTGAAAAAGCTCGATTACAAGCCTTTTTACGAGCTTGGTCAATTATTATTCAAAGTGATCCAACCGCCAATTGACTTGAGCAGCGTCAAATTAAGCAACAACTCGATCATGAATCCGGAAGTGCAGCATCAATTACCAGAGAATCAACGGCGTAAGCCAACACAGATTGGTTTGCCTCACAGTGATGAGAGTAAGACACCTGATGATCAAGAGGTATTTTACGTGTGTTGTGAGCTTGGTTGGTTTAAGTTTACGGTAATGAACGCCGTCACCGAATCTGTACCGAATCCAGAGTCACAACAGTTATGTGAGCAGCAGCCTAGTCTAGAAAATACCCAAGATGGATATCAATACAATGAAGAAGAGTATGAGAGTCATACAGCGAATGAGCATGTCTTTCAGCAAGATGGTGATGATTTTGAACAAGAAAATGAAGAATTTTCTGAGTCTTGTCCTAATTGGATGAACTCACAACCTATGGATCATCCTACGTGGGAGGAAGAAAAGCAAGACATGGACGTAACAGAAGAAGCAGAGTCCATGAGTAATGAAGATTATAACGGAAATCAGGAAGAATTATAAAACTTTAGTTTTATGCAGAAGCTAAACTTTAAATTAAGCAAGCAAGACAAGCACATAGAAATAAGAAGCGGTTTTGATGAAGACAGTAGTAACAAGTGTGAGGAAGCGAGAAATAAAGTTTCTTCTAAAGTCATGGAGTGGTGTTTACGGATTTTCTACTAAGAGTACTGCACGAGTGTCAAATTTGTCTTTATTTTTATTATGTCTGTTATGTGTCCATGAAAAGTGATTGTCTTAATCATGTTTTTTTAACTGTGAGATTGCCGATTGAAAACTGTATTGTCTTTTTTTTTTTTTTTTTTTTTTTTTTTTTTTTTTTTTTTTTNTTTTTTTCTTTTGTTTAATTAGGAAATTTTTTAACTTCAAGACAGTGTAATCTAAATTATGCTTTTGTTGTGTCCTAGTATCAACACATGTTAAAAACGTAACGTTTATTGAACCTTTGATAAATTGTTATGAATGTTTTTAGATACAAATAAGTTAATACAATTTTCCGAGATGACCAATATAATACATAAGTAAATGAAAAAATAAAAATTAGATAAGATACACTTCTTTTGTTTCATTATTAAACCCTTCAAAAAGTGATTTTTTTAAATTGTTACGACTATTGGAACTAGTGTCTAAAGATGTATAGAATTATGAGATAATAAAATAGACCCCTTCTACGTATGGATAGGACAAAATACAAAAAAAAGGATTTTTTTTGCTACATGATAGTTTTTAAAATATTTTTTTGTTAGTCTGATAGATTCCCAAGGTCATTTCAACATTCCACATTTCTTGGATGATATCGTGCCAGTTACACCTGACGAAGAGGCATTCTATCACAAAATTAAAATGGATGCCAAAGACTATAGGAACAACGTCGGTGTGATCAAGCTTGGCCACAACGAAGAGCTTAAACTGGTGCTGATGCACGTCTGGAGATATCCTTGGTTCAATCTACACTTCATCAACAGTTCTTGCGAAGGTGCTAATCTCCTCAACATACCGAAACAAGTATTTGTTCGATTTTCCGTACGGTGAGAATCGGTTTTTTTTTCTTTTTATTTATTAAAAAAAAGAAAAAATAGGTTCATCATGATTACTAAAGTGTAAAATTGTGCTAATTATTGGTTTCAGTACAGTGCCCAATCAAAAGCATGAAAAAATTAATAAGTTAATATTGAACTATATTAAAGATTTAGCCAAACAATCGCAAACGCCGAATAAAGTCAGTATTAATGCAGAACACTTCATGGACCCTTGGTACGAAGATCGCCTGCATTGGAATTATGAAGCGGCTAACATAGCAACCAAACAGGTGCAAATACATTGTTCTGTATTTTGTTGAGTATGCAATATCACTTTCTTGTGGCAATTTTTCATTTAATGTTTTCTCAGGTGTATAAAGAGGAGGCTAGTTTCATTCGTGAAGGCAACGGCTTTCCCACGCTGCTGAAATTACGCGATTCCATGCCCAGTCGTAACATCCTAATGCTACCTATTGTTAATAGCGAGTCAAAAGCTCACAGCGAGGAAGAAAACATATCGTTGCAATGCTATATTGAAGGCACCAAGCTTCTTGCAAACTACTTTTATCAGTTGCGAGAAACTGCACGCAAGTACGATGAAACTGCTTTGATACGTCAGCACAGAATCTGCCGAGATAAGTTGTAACCGAACTTAAGGATATTTTTGGTCTTTAATTAAAAAACCGTAAATTAACGGCTTCTCTTTGTGTGTGTGTCATTAGTCGTATATTACTTGCTAATTTTGAAGTAGGTAAATTCATTACAAGTGAAATTCGAGTGGTAGAAATTGGTAAAATTGGCTTATTATCGAAAAAAATTCATAAAACATTTAAAATATAACTTTCTTGTATTTCTAAGGTTAATTGAAGTACTCTGGATCGACTCCTCTCGTTTGTTTTATAGACAGTTTGATGAGACAGGAAGGGCCTAATATTGTATAAGACTTCTCTTGTAATTTCGAAATAAATTCTATATTTACATTTAAATATATATTTACAGTCTTTCATTTTCCTCATATAAAAAATAAGATTTATCTGGATTAAAAAAATTATTTACAGTGAACAAAAACTTAAAACTTTAAGTTATTATCTCAAAAAAGTATACCTTGAGGATTAATCGATTTAAGGCAAATACATATCAACATTTAAAAAATCAAAAATCCTTTTGTATTTTTATAATAGAGCTAAAAAAAATCTGTATTCTTCTTTAAGCTTTAATAATTTAATTATATAAATAATTATTAGAAGCACGATTCGTTAGTTCATCGTCACAAAATTCCATACGATACCAATTTCTTTAGTATTTACAAAAAAACACCAGTGTCGTGGTTTTTTGCATTTCATTTGGCAATATTACAAGTATTTGTTATACTATAAAAATATTTAATATTTTTACTTATTCAACATTTGAACTTTTAGAAAAAATTTTAATCCATTATAATAGTCACTGATGTTTCTGTGATTCGTTTTACGATCTCATATTTATACTTTTAACAATTTGATAAAAAATGCGCGGTAAACAAACGATAGTAATGTATTAAGCATACAAAAAAAATATAAAAAATTTTACCTATAATCATCAGTATACACCTCTTTCATGATATGCTTTTTCAGTTCAATCAAGTCCTCACCATCACTACAATCATCAAAAATATCCTGCACAGTTTGTACCACAGTGTCAGTTGGTTTCTTCAAAAATTCAGGTTCCAAATATTCAACTTCTTCCTCCATTTTCATATCCTCATCTTCTTCATCAGTGATAACTTCAGCAGGTTTATTTTCTGAAAGATCACTCTTTAAAGAAGTATTAGTTTCACTAGAAATATTAAGAGGTTCAACATTTGCATCGTCATCCTCAAGTACAGTTTTACTAACATCCTCAACAGATTCACAGTTATCTTCAACAAATTTTTCAACAGATTCACTTTCGCTTTTAACATGCGTATTGTGTGTTACAATAGCGCGATTTTCATTATCCTTTGACAACTTTTTATCCAAGATTTCCAAAGCTGGAAGGGGAAACCTATACTCTAGCAGTTTTTCGTAGCCTTTCAAGCTACAAAGTCTCTTGATGTCCAAAGCTGCTTCTAACACTTCGTCTGTAAACTCATTAACAGCGTGGCAAGTGAGAAGTTTGTCGAATACAGCATTTTTTTCATTCAACAACTTCTGCTTCTTCAGAATCATCCGCATTTCGTACATCCTCTTTTTATAATTATTTGTGTTTTTTTCGGATCGTTCAAGGAACTTGGATGCCTTTTCAAGTTTCCAGTTCAGTTCTTTTATAGTATTTTCTTTACGTCGAACTTTACTTTCCAATAGTCTACGGTTTTTTATTTCCTCGTTGTTGGACTTTGTTAAGCTTTTCACGTCTCGTTCCAAATCCATCAGTCTTACATGCAAGTCAGATTTCGCTTCTTCCACGTAAGAGTCAAATCTTGTGTGTTCCGATAACTTCTCGCTAGCAACTTTATCCTGAAGTGCTTTGATTTCCTTGTCTTTGAGCTTTAACTCGTGAGTCAAAGTTTTTACATTGCTCTCCATATCTTTGTACATGATCAGTTGACTTGTTAACGTTTGAATGACCTCAGCTTGCACTTCCAACTTGGAGACTAACTGCTGTTCGCTAAATTTATTCACACTATTTACATTTTTAACGTTACCAACACTATTTTTTTTGTTATTTACAGGCAACAGCATTAAATTGTTTTTCGACAAATCAACGTTATTTTTTATAATTATTTTGCTCGCACCACTAGACTGATTGCTCTTCGTGACTAGAGCTTGTTTCGTTAGCGGCTCCTCATACTCTTCGCTGTCTTCCATTTCTAAATCATTGATGACATCTCTTACACTCTTATCCATTTGCACTCCCGTAGTTTTGCTTGGAGATTCTGCTACTACTTTATCTGGGGATATAGTTTTGCTCTTTCGTTTCCGCTTCATACCGATTCTTGAAGATAGTGGCTCATCAGAGTCAAAATCCTGGTTTGAGTTGTCTTTTACACTGTCGGATGCGTTTTCCCATTCTTCCAGGCTAAACGAGCTTTCTGCCTCCATTGGTTTATCACTTGTTTTTCTAAAGGAATCCTTGCTGTTGTTACTATCGCTTTCGTAGCAGATGGCCTGGAGATTTTTCTCGATTGCATCAAAGTCCACTGGCTGCGACGAGCTGTATTCTTGAACCTCTTCCTTGACTTCTACCTCTTGCTTCACAACCCCGGATTTTTCGGGTTTTGATTTTGTCTGAACGTTTTCCTTGTCTCTTGCATTCTCCAGCATAAAAAACGCGTTTTCTTTGATTATCTTGCCGATTTCTCGATTGTGCTCATCCGCCACTATGATGATATTTTCGTTTTGTAAGTTTTTGAAGGCGTCGCTGCTCAAGATGCTGATGTTTTGAAGAATCTGTCCAGTGATTTCAGCGTTCTATGATAATTTTTAAATATATTTAATGCCACATTGTAATCAAATTTTTGTGCAATTTGTATCTTGTAAATTATTGCATGGACACAACATTACTTACTTAAAAAGTACATAAAAACATGAACAAAAGAAATCAAGCAATGATGCAAAAAATTGTCTTTCAGAATTTAAATGTTAGAAAAAAAATAAGAAACTGAATTACCTGAGATTGTATGCTAATAATATTGGGCATGGACTTTTGATTAGTCAAACCAAGAATCAGAGGACTACTACTGTCCAAATATTCTACCTCAAACTCATCCAAGTTGACCTCTTCGACAGCTTTATGTACTTTTTGTTTTTTCTTTGGAGATTTTCTTGTTGAAGTTACGGTGAAGATAGAAGGTATGGCACCTTTTTTCAGTCTTATTTTTCCATTTGATGAATTGAGCCATTGGCTTTTATCAAAGTGAACGTGGCAAAGAAAAGAGTTGTTTGATGGCTCCCAGTCTGCTCTGCCAACTTTTTTTTTCCAGACTGTTCTTAAGGCTGGATCCCTAGGGAAACACTTCATTGTGTAACCCTTTTCGCTGCGGTTGTTGCAACCAACTGCTGCACAACCTGGCATGTTTACTTGAGTATCGAAACACTGTAATTATGTCAAAGGTCAACTAAACAGTAACAAAACATAATAGCCAAAGAAATAAACAACAAACTTTGGGTAAAAAACTAAGCCATAAAACTAGTGAGCAATACATACATTAATAAAACATAAAGTTGTTGCAATATTTTTCTTAAACATAAAATTTGTAAATGTAAAATACTTTGTTATCTGAATAATAGTTAACGGTTAATGCATTTTTTAAGGAATAAACAAATAATGAAAAACAGGATGATAATTCACATATATTGTGACCATGATATGTCATAGCAGTTTTTCTATATTGCAAAGTTTTCTATATTTGCAAAGTAACAGGGAAAAAGTTATAAGAGCACATTGTAACGTCGCAAAAAAAAAAAAAATTGGATCAAGCAACTAAACATATTTCAATGTTAATAAGTGCACACCTAAGGTTACAATGATAAGTTATTTAAATGTTTTAAAATATAGTGAAAATTTTCTCATTTAGGAATCTGATGACAAGTTAACATTTTTAAACGCCTCCAAAAGATTAGTCCATAAAAATAAATGTTTTTCAGACTCCGCAAAAGTTATCCACGAAATATGTGAAAATGAAAATTTACCTTATTGTGGTTTGCTCAACAAGTAAATTATTGTATCAAAAACACCAGCAAAAATACTAAAAAACAGGTTGTTTTCAACTACAATTCTTCACAACGATAAGAAAAACCTCGCAAAAACTCATAATTAATACTTGACATCGACAAAAAAGGGGTCGACCATCGATGAAAATAATTATCGTGCTCAAAACCATTAATTAATCTTTCATTTTCGATTTTCGGAGTAATATATGTCACGCTGAGAGAGATTTTTATATATATACACATCTATTTTTATGCAACGAAACCTAACCTAACCCCAAATTTTGGCCCAAGCCCAAAAAATGTTAAATGTCGAATGTCTACTGCTAGATGGCGCTTATTGTAAACGAAATCATTTTTGTAAACAAAAACAAAAAAAAGAGACACCTGCTCTCTCTGTCTATTAAAAAGTTGATTTTAAAGTTTCGTTTTCACACTATGTAAATACTCAATGTGCAGGTGTTCTTAGCATTCAGTAATAATTTTTTTTTGTGTGGTGTTATGATAAATATGAATTAGCTCTGAAAACACATTAATAACTAAAAATTTTATGTTTATCATAGGAGATAAACAAGTCTGTTTTCAGTAAAAGTTATTGTTACAAGAGTATCATTAGTAATGTAATGATGTCAGCAGATAATCAAATAAAAAAAAACATGGCATCCACGGGTTTAATTGCAAAAGCCGTGGAAAATTTGCGAACCTTGCAGTTAAACGAAATGCTTTATCCTGATCATAAAGTCAAGTAATTATCTTTCATTTTTGCACAAAACATCATTATGTTAACATCATATGAAATGTTGCAGAAAAAAAGAAAAAATAGCCAACTGTTTGGCCTTGGTCAATGGGATTTCAACGTCAACTGTCAAAGCTGCACCACAAGTGTTGAATCTTTCCATTGAAATTTTGCTTTGTTTGAGCGATGATCCTGATTCTGATGTTAGAACAGTGACTGATGAATGTTTAAACAAAATAATAAGAGTAAGTTTTAATTTTGCTACTAATATTTGATATCACACTAGTACTTTATCCATTTAATCCTTGAAAAATGATTTCACATATTACTCATATTATTCAATTATACATATTATTTTACGTTGCTGTTGGATTATATATATATATATATATATATAAAATTTACTGTAATTAATTCAATACACATAACATAGTCAGGATACTAGGACAATAATTTTAATTTTTTTTTTTACTCAGGAGGTAGCCGATAGTTATGTTTTGAAAGTGCAATTCGAGTTGTATCGAGAAATCAAGAGAAACGGAGCAGCTCGCTGTTTGAGGGCTGCTTTGTGGAGATTTGGCTTGCTTAGCCACATGATCAGACCAGTTAAAGCAAAAGTCTTTGCTTCTCAGCTGACTCCTTGCATTTTGGAAATCGCCAAGCGCAAAGAGGACACAGTGATTGAAGCTCTCTCACAGTCATTGCCATTAATTTTAAAGACGCTAGGTCACTACATTCCAGATAAAGATGTAAAGGTATGTATTGCCATGGACAAGAATCAAAGTTTGTTTTAAGCATATATTTTTTTTTTTCTGTGTAGGTTTTATTGAGGGCATTTTTTCAAAATATCGTTTCCAATGAAGCTGCTCATAGAAGAGCTTCAGCCGGAATAATTGTAGCTTTTTGCCTTAACTCTCGCAAGCCACAATACTTTTTGAATCACGTGATAGAGCAGTGTATAGGTATTTTAAATCCTTGAAAGATTTAAACGAAATTTTTGTCCTGTTTTTACTATTTCTCAAAACCATTTCTTTTTTCTCATCAGATATGTTATCCCAAACTACTGAAAAAGATGTGGAAGAACCGGAATGGCATTTGAACACAGTACTGGGCGTGTTTGGCTGCTTGCGACTACTGGTTCCACACATGGATTCCACCTCAAGCTTCATTCAAAACTTTGATGAAGACCACGTCCTCGACCACCACATTTGTATATACGAACTCTGCCTTTATTACGCAAAATTTTACTCGAACCACAATGTGATAAACGCTGCTCTAGAAACTCTATCCCAACTTTTGCAAAACCCACCCAAGAACGTCGTCGCGGCTCTACTATCCAAAGAGGGCATACCTCAGCGAGTCAAAAAATTAAAAGATCGAGGCAAGCAGTGGTCGAGCAAAGTGAGCCTGGCGACGACGTCACTGATGTCAGAAGACAACCTGGAACCCTTGTCGTCGAATCTCTTAGAATCCGACTTGATGGACATGTCTGAAATAGGTCCCAGAGTAGAAAAGTGGATGACCGGCATACCAGACGCAACTGCTGTGCGCTGCAGCAACAAAGCCGAGGTGTCGGCCGACTCTAGTCAAATCATCGATACCAAAGATCTGGACGACTACAGCGGACTGGTCATAGGATCTGTAGACGAGGACGCAGAGATTAAGAGCAACGCGAGCAGCGACTTGGGAAAGTTTGAGAATCCTTTGGATCCGAGTCCATTTCTGCGTCCAAAAGAAATGTTGGAGGATGAGAACGAAGCGTTGGACGACTCAACCGCGTCGGTTGCCTCCCAACACGCAATTCCGGTCGACGAATTCATGCAGCAACGTGGTGACCTTAACATCGGTAGTCTCTTGGACGTAGACGCGTCCTTGGGGTACTGCTGTCGACTTCTCGCGTCGTCGTTCCTACTTACCGGTAATCCAGGAGAGTTGATACCAGACAGAGTGTTTCGGGTGAGCGTCAAAGCACTCGCTCTCGTTTGTCTCGGCAATGCGCTGAAGCTGCATCCTCAGGTACTATTTGAAAGCCTAACCAAAACCCAAGAAGGACAGATGATGTCGGATGTGCTGTTGTTGGCCGAGCACTCGGATCCGCAGATCAGGGGTAACGTGATGCTGCTCGTGGGATCGTTTCTCCAGGCCGTTTTTGCCCGTGACGAGACACGATTTTACAAGGAAGGACTGCCAAGTCTCGTCAAGTTGATCATAAAGGTATACTGCTTGCCTGTACCTTAAAACACTACAGTTTTTTTTTTTTTTTTTACTGTACTCTATGTTTTTCACGTTTACAGGGTCTAGAGGATGAATCTACCACTACGTGCCGTCAAACGTTGACAGCTCTCAGTGCTTTTCTACCCAGTCTTTTGGAATCCGACGACAGGCAGTGCGCTGTGCCCATTTTAAAAGCACTGCCTTTGTTAGCGAGTAAGCCGTATTTCCTTGTTAAAATCAAACTTGCTGAAATCGTCAGTGAACTGCCGTACACCGCGATCGAGCTGGTGGTTGGCGAGTTGAGATTCCAGGAGAGCGTTGTCAACGTGCTTTTGGGGCTATTGAGCGATACCGATCAGAGGGTCAGAAAATCGGCTGGCAGTGCGATCGCCAAGTGAGTACAAGACGGAATCTTTGGTTGGTTCGAGCTATGAACAAAATCTTATCTCCGTAGGATAATCCCACATTTGTACTTCGAGAGCCCGAACGAAGATGCAGTGACGCGCAAGGCCAGCCGGTACGCCGATTGCTACCTCAACTCCCCGATCTCGAGTGAGTTCCTCAACTGCACCAGTACCGGCGGTCCGATCGAGCATAAGCTCCTGATCGACAGTCTGGTCTCTCCGTACGACGCTTTGTTCCATCTCTGCCGAGAGTCCCAGGAATGCAGGCGATTTCCCGACGAGGCTCTGTCGCGAGTGCTTGGCTTGCTGGCCGATCGGTTTCTCGTTTACTCGTCCCAGGCTTTGGCACACGGATGCTGCGAGACCTTGAGCTTGTTGAGCGAGACCTACTTGACGAGCGTGTACTCGAAAGCTTGGGACTATCCAACGTCTGTGGGAAGCAGGCAGGCTGTGAAGAAACCGGTGAAGAAAACTTGGAAGACTGACACAGATTATTTGGGCGATGGGGCTTCTGGTGCGTTTGAGTTTTATTATCGTGACAAAGGTGCGAATAATTTTGTTTACACGCCGTTTATGTTTGTACTTTAGGTTTTTCCAACAAGGTGCTGTCGCCGCTGTCTAGCAGTTTATTTTCGCAGACGATGGTTCTGCTGAGCTCGTCGCCCCTCAGTCTCGACCTGTCGGCTCATCGACACCTGCTGTTGCTCGCTGGAAATCTAGTGTCCGGTATCGCGTGCAACAACTGCAAATCGAAAGATCAGCACTCCCAAACGAGTAGTGAACCAGAGACTGTCAATGATTTCAAGTACTGGACGTTTTTCAAAGACAAGCAAAACTCCAAGTACATGGAGGAGCTGTTGATTCACGTGACGAGGGTACTCAACATTTTTCAGCACGTCGTTGAAGATCTGCCTTCGGTATGATTGTTGGGTGTGATTAATGCTTAAGAGAAACACCATGGAACTTACAAAATATATACACATATATATTTTTAGCCGATACAGATGTCTTCCAAAACTTCTTTGCCTTCGCTACCGTCAGCTACGTCTTTGTCACCGAAGCGTAATCTTTTACCGAATCAGTCTTCCAAGTCTTCAAAGTCATCGCCCGGTGGTGACAAATCGTCCGATCATACTCACCGGCTGGGTTTTCGTTTCGGGGGCAAAGACCAGCTGGGCCACCTCAAAGGTCACTCGCACTATTTAAGACTCTACGAGATACTACGAGCTGCACACTCGAATTATTGCGTCACCTTGGAGCAAGAAGCTAGCGAACTCTATCTTGGACTTCTCAATGCTACCCTTCAGGTGATTCTTTGAATTCACAAATTTGGGGACAATCGATTGAACAAATTTTGTATACATACATGCAGGTTCTGTCGCAAATTCTCGAAGTCGCGAGCTTGAACGAAACTGGTAGGTTGGCAGAAGAAATATTACACTACCTGCAATCCACGATGCTCTTGTCTTCTACCATGACCATCCAGTGCGTGAGACAACTATTGAAGAGTTTATTCGGGACAAATTTGATAGCCAGATGGGTGGATGTTTACGAGGCTTACCGCAACAGAGAAAAGAGGGACGGCAACGTGCAGGACAGTGATGTCAACCAAACGGAGGTGGATGGCAAGAAAGACTTTTACGAGCAGTGCTTCCAGAAACCAGCCAAAATTATGACCGAAATGATCAAGAGTATCGGGATCAATTGCCGAGGTGGTTACGAGCCCGACAACGCCACTCATCGGTGAGCCATGAAATTGCGATAAATACAAATTGGGCTTTGAAAAATTTCATTGTATGTATTCTTTAAAGATTAATACCGTCCCTGCATCGCAAAGAAGATAAAAAAATCTCGTCGATCCTGAAGATCCTTGGCCGCAATGTGGACCAGAACTCCTTGCACTCGTTTATTCGGCTTTTCGAGCCTCTAGTCATCAAATCCTTGATCCAGTACACGGTCTCCAATTCCGTGCCACTGCAGTGTCAAGTTCTCATGCTCCTTAGCCAACTGATCCACTTGCACATAAACTACTGCCTGATGGACTCGGACAAGATTTTCATTGGCTTCGTGATGAAGCAGTTCGAATTCATAGAGGAAGGCCACATTCGCCAGACCGAGAAATTGTTGCCCAAAGCATTTGACTTTTTGGTTCGTTTATCCTACGAGAAATACCACTCGAAAATCATTATCGGAGTCCCCAAGATCATACAGCTTTGCGACGGTTTAATGGCCAGCGGACAGCCACCGTTGACCCACTGCATCCCGGCTCTCGTACCCGTGGTCGAGGAATTGTTTTTGGCCAAAACTCCTCCTGTCAGTGTCACCGAGGAAAAAGAGCTCGAGACCACGCGCGAAGTTTTAATATCCATGATGCTCAGGTTGGCCGAGTATCCACAGGTAGGATTTTTTTTTTTTACTTTTTATGTATTATAAAACACGCGAGGTTGAAAATAAAAGGAGCTTTTCTTTTCGTTTTACACAGGTAGTGGAACTATTGGCCAAGTGTTTACTGGAGTCGAGGGTAAGCAGTGACGGCGAGGAGAAATGGAGGCGATGGTCAAGGCAGACAATGGACGTGATTTTACCGTCGTTGAGAAAGTTTCGCATCGAAACGAAAAAGGCTTTCTTCTCTTTGGTGAAATTGTTTCTAACGGTCTCGCCGACGGTTTTCCGACCAGTGGATCCACTTTTGAAAGTCTTGTTCTCCATGCCACCGAATATCGGCAAACATTTCTCGTTGGTACGGCGTACAGTTAGTTTACTTGGATAAGAAAGGTGGTTTCGTTTAAAACTGAGGTGCTTGTTTTTTTTTTTTCTTTTTTCTTTTTTTCGTAGAATTCACAGTTAACCAATAAAAATAGACAAGAGTTCAAACGCTGGATAGGCGTGATAAACGTGACGATCCTTTCTCTGGTTTCTTACGCCAAAGAAGAGGCAATGCTGGCAAGGCTTTCGGATTTGTGCCCGACGATTTCAGATCTGCCGGAAATCCTGCTGATGCCAGTTTCGTGTCGACGAGAACTCAGCGGAGACCCTTTGAACGTCTCAGGTACGCTAGAGCCATTCAGCATGCCACCGGAAAAGATACTGTCGAGATTCATATTCCGAGCTATTGGTGCTTTGAGCTCGGTTGTCGTTGACATTACACAGGTATCGCTCGATTGACTATTGTTTAATGTTGAATGAAAATTTAAATAAAAAAGATACTATTTTCAGAGCGCTAATTTGAAGGTTTTAAAAGACTCGGGTGACAGCGAGGAGAACGACTACGTGATACATCAGTTCGCGCTGCTCCTCCAACTGTGCATCCACATGTTCGAGACTGGCAGCCATTGCAAAGTTGCCAATGCCAGCATGCACCTGATACAGGGCCAAAACATTCCAAAGGAGGAGAGATTACCACTGAACGAGTTGAACGAAGCAATGATGCGAATCGGCATCAATTGTCCCCTCCTAGCGTCCCAGTGGATGTACCTGTTGACTCTCCTGGGCTACAACGAAATGAGTTTTTGGTCGCGAGTGATCGGCTCACGGTCGAAAGTCATTTCCATCAATGGGGAAATCGTGCGACGTGCCGCGACTATCCTTTTCTGTGATTACCTGTGCGAGAACGTCTCCAGCGAATCGGAACGCCTGAGTTGGCTGTTGACTCATCACATCGAAGCAACCCTTGCCTTGGCTGACGAAGCACCGGTTCGCGAACTCTTAGCCGTTGCGGTACACCGCGAGCCCAAGATCAGTGAATTGTTCCTGCGGTGCATCGCGGAAAGCGTATGCGTCGACCGGCGGCCGGTTTTTGTTAAACGGCTCCTGCAGTGCCTCGAAGGTGCTCATCAATCGCAGTCTGGACTGTTGCTCTCGGTGCTAGTGCCGAGTCTTTTGAGGTCCAAGTATCTCGTGCTGTCGAGGATGGCAGCGAAAATTGCGAGCAGACGGGTCGAGGTGCTGCTCATGCTTGGCAAAGACGATGCGCTAGTGCAGCTGTCAAAGGAAGATTTCGAGGTGACCTCAATGAATTTTTTGTACTGGATTTTTCATTCGTAGAGCAAAAAAATTTTATTTACCAATGCTGTACAGAACATCATGAGGGCATTCGACACAGATGGATTGGCCAAAAAGCACGAAGCGCTGGTCGGATTGCTCAACAAACTCGCGACAACGCACTACGAGTCGAAACCGTTGGCACTTGACAGTTCGAAACCTTTCGATCAGTCAGAAATAAAAAACATCAAACTAGATCGCACTTGGTACTTGTCGCAGGTAAGAACAGATTAATAATAAAACATCTGTACATTGTAAAATTGAGCACTATAAAAAAACGTACGACCAAAGGTAAAATCACGATGCTGCCAACCGTGTTTGAGTTACGGCTGTTTCGAATCGGCTTGGTTGTTGAGCCACTTGAATTTGGACGAGTGCCTGAATGTTTTAGCGTCCAAGGATTTCAACGTCAAACTTTTGAACGAGTGCGTCATCGTGGGTGCTCGGCTCACGGCTCAAACTATCCAGCAATTGGGTAATTACAAAGTTTTTTTGAAAGTCCATCTCGACCCATTAAAATCCAAGTAGTGACGTTGAAATTACCATTTACTTTTTCTTCTTTTTCTTCTTTTGCCGTTCCCTCACGTAAAAATAAAGAACTCGACGGAACATCGAAGCCAAAAGACGACGTCGAAAGCATTTTGTACACTGCCGCTAAACGAAGTCTCATGCAGCGGGTGCGAAACATCGTACAAGAGCTACCCCAGGAGCACCGACTCTTTGCTCCAGATGAAGACCGAAACAGCATGTGGTAATTACAAATCCTACATTATTTCGCGTGACACGTGATTCTGATAACAACCACCCAATGATCCTCTTGTTCTTACTAGCACGAGCTCTGTCCTCGTCGATCCGTCCTACCGCGAGTCCCTTTTCTCGCTCCTGCCAGCCGTGGAAAGCTACGCAAACTCGCAGAGCGCGCTGTCGCGAAACACGAGCCCCGAGCACGAGGGGGATCTCTGCCGCTTCGCGATCCTGTGCCTCGAGATCTCGCACCTCCTCGCCACCGGAGCTAAGCCGTCAGCGCGAGAGCTCGAGCTCTTGCTCAAGTGCGCGCGGGCGCTTCTACGCGACCCTTCCATCGCTCGAGCGCTGTCAACAGCGGAGCATCACAGCTGGGTGTGCTCAGCCGTGGCTGCCCTGACGGGGGTCACGAGGCGTCTCGTCGAGGACAACAGCCTGCCCGACATCGACGAGGACTGCAGTGGGCTGAGGGTGGCGATGGAGGACGGGGATACCAGGGAGTACGCCGTAGCGTGTTTGAGGATGGCTGCGCTTGTCGGCTGGATGGAGCGGAGGAGGCGGAGATGGAGGATCAAGAGATCGGCCGTGGGCTGCGAGTGGGACGACGTTCCGAGTTTCTTCGTGGAACCACTGGAGGACCTGATCGTCAGTGTCGCTAGGCAACCACTGGTCAACTCGTTCGTGCTCACGCCCCCGCTGCTCTGGAAGCACGGTTGCGCAACCGTAGGGACTGGCTCGACCAAGTGAGTACGAGTTGCTTTTTTTGCTTCCCTTGGCTTGTAACGATCGTTCATCCAAAATGCCGTAAGCTGTGTATATTTACGTGTAAAACCTTTAAGGTGCCAGTTTGCCCTGTTCTCGTCCGAGCCGAACTACATTCCCGAACTCGAAGTCCTCGAGGAGTTCATCTTCCGGATCTCCCTGCTCGGCTGGAACTCGCGTCAACAGTTCGAAGAGATCTGGATGGTGTTGCTCAGCGTCCTGAACGTGTCGCAGATGCGTAGCGACGAAGTCGAGGGCGACGCGTCGAGCAATCTCAATCACACGGCCAGCCTGGCGGTTCGTGCGATTGCTAATTTGCTCGCGCAGACCCTCGTGTTACCTTGCCCGGGTAACCCAAACAACGGCACGGTCATCCGACATCCGAGAGATCCGCAATTGTCGCTGCAAAAGAGAAGCACTCAGAGGCTGCTCGTCGTCCAGGATCTACTGCTTTGGAAGTACCAGTACAGGTAAGTTTCACGTGTAACACTGACATTTTCGAATCGGTAGTGATTGTCATCGATGATTTACGTTGAAAAAAAAACAGCGACATTGCCAAGGATACAAACGCCCCCAAACTGGAGCATCTGTTCCACCGCGGTAATTTGGAGCCCCGAGTATCGAACCCTCACTGTAGCAGCTTCCACGCTCACGGCCAACTGTCGGTGTCCTACCTGTGGTCGCAGTGTGCACTACACGAGGACAAATTGAGCTCGTCGACACTCGCTCTGAAAGCCCGACGCGACGAAGCCTTGGCAGCGGCTTCGCTCGACGTCAACTCCTGTCTGCGCTTCCTCTTGGAACTGTACGGCTGCTGGATCAATCCGGGAGCGCGTCCCATACCGCTCAGGCTACTCCACGAGGTTGTCAGATCGTTACTTTTGATTTCGGAGCTGTTTGTTGAGCGCTCGCAGTTCCAGTGGATGCTCGAAGCCTGTCTCGAGCTCTGGAAGGTCCATGTCCCGGAAGACGAGATGCTGAGGCGACACCTCGTCGTGGCTGTCTGCAAAGCCTCGGCTGTGCTCACGCCTTTGGTAAACATTTCTATTGGCTCTATGATGAAACTTTGTCGAAACAATCGATTGACTCAAGTTGTTTTTTTTTTTTTTTTTTTTTTTTTTACTGATTCGACAGGACGCAGAAACCCTAGATAAAGTTAAACGCCTGATCGATGGAGGTTTGAAGGCCACCTCGTTGACCATGAGGATAGCAACTTTACACGGAGTCTTGTACCTACTCCAGAGCGCCGTTTTGGCCGATTGCGAAGAAACAATGAGCGCGGTGCACCCACTGGCCATAGAATACATCCAGCGTCATTTGGACGTGTCGAATTCCAATAGCAGGTACAACTAAATTTTCCTTCTTCCTCGTGCAAAAAATCACAAATGTGTCAATACGATTGTCTGCGTTTCGAAGGGTAACGAGCCAAAGCGAGGAGCATCAGTGCACGCTGTGGGCGCTTGTGTTTTTCTTACTGGAGCACGCGGAGAGTACGCCCCCGGACGCCGAGGCTCCCGCAGTATTGGAACTCATCTTAACCCTAGTCACTTCGCAAAACATTTCCACGTCCTTGCACCGGATGCTGCTTCAGGTAAGAAGAAGAAAACAAAAAAAAAAAAAACACTACCCTCGATAGTAACAATGATCGACTTTGACGATACAATAATGATCGATGGCGAAAACTCAGGGTTTGGAAAGGCTGGTGGCAACGCGCAGCGTGATCGGCAAGGTGCTCGAGCAGATCGTCAAGGTTTCGATCGAGCGACTGCGCCAGCCGAACCCTGCCTTCTCCCTTCCAGCGCTCCAGCTCTTTCTCACCTGCATGTACACCGACACGGCCGATCGTTTTAACAATCCGTCGTCATCGGTGGTCGAATCGAGTCCCGAGGACCCGACTTCCATCGAGCCCGAGATCGAACGCTCGATCGAGAGGTCGTCCGCCTTCTTCGACAAGATTAAAAAAGGCTATCCGGCCGAGGTGAGGATTCTGAGTGCCGTCCTAGCCGAGATCGTGGTGGACTTTTTTCCACCGCTCGAGATACTCACCAAAGTCATTGGCGAGTTTTTGTCCCCACATCAGCCGCACCCAAGGCTCATGTCCGCCGTCGTGTTTAAGGTATTAACGATTGCGCATTTGAACGAAAGTAATCGTCATTTTTGTTGTACGAATCCATTGTCGATGTTGTTGTACGATCGCAAACAATGAATATTATTTCATGATTAATCATGACGATTGCAGGTTTGCGAGAGAGCTTGCAACAGCACTCAACTGGACTTGCTTCAGACTTGGGTTGTGTTTAGCATACAAAACTTCATTCAAAGCCTGCCCCTCGTGATGTCCACTTGGTGCCTCTCTTGCTTTTTCATAAGCACCTCGATGAATCCCTGGCTACGGGCTCTGTATCCTTTGATAAATAATCGAGAGAGTGGGGGAAGTGCACGAATAACGAAACATGCCTAATTAAACAGAAAATTCCTCAATGAGAACTAATTTTAGATTTCCTCACGTACAATCGAGAATCGGAAAGTATGAATACGAAGATAAGAAGATACTTTGTCTCGCTGCCGCTGACTTTTATTCCGCGGTAAATTAACGAAATTTTCAATTCAATTGCGTTACCTGTTAACAAACATTTGTTGTTGCCATTACATTTTTATAAAGTAGCATCGATACAAATATTAAGCGTGTGATCTTTCAGCTGACCAACGAAGTCCAGAAGGAGACCTTTGTCAAGACGTTCGAGGACGCTGCGAAAAATATCGGGTCTCCGTTCGGAGACATTTTGGCGTTTTTTTAAAATAATTGTTTCGATGTCGACGATGATGATGATGATAATTTAATTTATTTACTTTTTTTGCATGATATTGCAAAGCAAAATGATTTTTCTCGTCTGTACATTTGTAAAAAAAAAAACGACAAAAAAAAAATCTTAACGCAAGAAGTATCACTGTTAATGCCTATACGTATATTTAGATATGAATATTATTCATGTTCTATTGAAATTCGATCCCAGCGTGTGATTGCCGTTGAATCGATGAAAACGTTGTTTTAAAAATAAATAAAATAAAAAAGATTTTTATATAACTACATGCCTAAATTTATCCATCGAGGGAGCAAGAGAAAAAAAGTACCATGTACATAGATCTTTCGAAGGTAAGCCTAGTTAGCTAATGGCGGACGAGATGCTGATATAAAAAGAAGCATCTGGTTGTTTGCTTTTTTGATGATTGGAATTTGTACATTTTCACAATTCCTGCTTATATAAACCAAGCATTCCGAGCAAGGAAAATTCTCTTTTCAATGCGCACAGGACCTCGTTAAAGTACTCGGCGCTGCTCTGAATATGAAATTCACCGAGGCTTCGAATCTACTTACGAGTGGGTATTTATTTCGTTCGCGCTACTGGCGATGCACAGGAATCGACGAGCGCAACAAATGGATTTTCAAGTTTTTTTTGCGAATTAATTGTCGATGTTACAGTGCACGCTTAAAATATTTTTGGCATTTCAATAAGAAATGTGGTCCAGTTGTAGGTAAATTCTTTTTTTTTCTTACGTCCAGGGGATTGCCAATTTTACAGTTGCACGTGGAAAATTAATAAACAACATCATTCTTGCGTGTATTTGATAGTGACAAAGTAATACATGTGTGCTTTATTTACACACGTAAAACAACATTTTTTTTCTCGGAAAGATGATTTTTTTATTGCTAGTCGTATCATAAAATACCTACTCTGAACAAAAAATCAATCAAAAATTCTTTAATTCTGTGTTATAAATACTATAAATACTACTAAGATAATGTTCTTCGGCTCAAAGGATGCATTATATTTCGAGAACATAAATTTTAATAAATTTCCATGCCCAAGTCTGGTTACATTTTGTATACAGTATACAAATGAATGCATGGTTTTTTGTTATACATTTAATTTCTAAAACAATGATAGATATCAAAAGGGGTATAAAATCTAAAAATAACTATTGTGATTAATGTAGAAAAAAAAAAAAAAAAAAAAAGGAACAAAAAAGCAATTACAGTAAAAGCAGTAATCAGATAAGCAGTGCATAGCAACGTGTTTGGTCTTTCCCAGCTTTGAGCCGAACCTAATAAAAACTTTCGACACGAAAAACCTCAAGCACAGCGGAAGCCCTTTCAAACTTGTTGGCTCGCAGGTATGTTAATATCCCTTATCCGTTTCCTGGACGCAAACAAAAACTGTTCTAACTCTCGACGGTATTAAAACTCGCGTGTGCACCTAAAACCTGTTTCACGGATGCCTGGTGGTGGTGATAATGGTATATTTTGTTTGTCGAAAATTTTGGACCTGTCGCTGAACTTAAATTTGTTTTATGCTTATCATCTTTACAAAAAAAATAAATAAAAATACTTTAATCAATAAATCTGATTTCAATGTATTTTAGTGCATCAAGTGTTAATTGTTTTATTAATTTTAAAATATTACAATTTTTTTTTTTTTCAGTAATTAACTAAGAATGGATTATCTTTTTGAGTATACATTTTTTTCTATACCGTTTTTTATAGTTCCGAATTAAAGGGAGGGACAGAGAATAATGAAAAAAATACTTACTTTTTTGATAGCAGAAAATAAAAATTTGTCGCTATGTTTTTCACTGTTGTAATAAAATTTTGAAAAAGATTATTTAAATATCTAATCACTAGTTTTTAATATGTTTGCACAAGCATCGTAAAAATACGAGTTACGTAGAAAATAATTTAATTTTTGGTTCTAATTTAATAATTTTTTAAAACATACCCGTAAAGTAAAATGGGAGACACACTTGTCGATACGTAAAATTTCTTTTTTTTTTACTGTAAAAAATTGCCCGGAACAAAGAAAAATGAAAATACATGCCAAACAACTAAACACGTTTTGCAAAGTGCGCAAAGAATTATGTTTGGATTACATTACACAGAAATCATTTGTAAGTTATGCAACATAAAAAATACAAAAGAATAGTGGCAATTAGTTGGTAATAATATTAATATTACAACATAAAATCACATGTGTATGGTCCAGTTTTATCGCAGCTGCGGAAAGTGCAGCCTGCAGCGGTGAATATGAAAAATATATGTGCAATGATGGAACGGATGATGAATGTTTTGAGATTGAAGGGAGTGCTCGGATCAATCGAGAAAAAGAGCATTTTTCAGTGAATATCGCGTGGAGCGATTTAAACTTTTCGCTATTACGGAACGGTATGATTTTTCAATGTTTCTCGTTCGCCCGTAAAGTAGTGTCGGAAAACTTTGGAGTTGAATTACGTTCGAGCTAAGAATTCAAAAGCTTTTTCAGCTCGAGGTGAAAAGAATAAAATCGCTGAAAAGGTTCGTTTTATAGCGATAAATTTTCTGAAATTTCGACAGGAATGATATTACTGCTTAGTTTTTCAATAAATATAATAAGTTAATTAAACGCTATAGCTATAGCTAAAGCTCCCTTATAAACCGTGATTATTATTGTGCGGTAAGTTGCCTCCTCACTTACTGTAGACTGTGACTATTTTGGAATTATTTTAAATTAAATACTGATTAAATTTAAAGATTATGTACGTGCATATTTTGATGATAAAAAATAATATCCAGTCCGGATTTTTTATTACACCTTCTTGTTTGTGCTTCGTTTTTTACTCCAATAAATAATATTGACAATAATATTTAAAAGATGTAATGAGAGTATGCGTTTACAAGGAGATTAATAGAATGTAACTTTAATCGTACAATATTTGTTTATTTATTTGATCAGAGTATACGTATAAAATAATATATCGACAAAGAAATGATGGTTTCGTAAATATTTTTAATTTTTATTTTTACTATTCTGGGATGTACAAACAGAGTAAATGGAATAATCGAAACACATAATTGTAAGGCTTCAAAAATATAGGTAGATTTCTAAATACAATGGTGATTGTTTTGTATAAAAGCAGTACTTGAAAAATGTGTACCAATCGATGCTGCCAATTTTTTTTCCTTACGACTTGTAATCAGTCAACTTTTTACTCGCTCTGTAATGCTACAACATCGTAAAAACAATTCGTAAAAAGACTTAACTTTTTTATCAAAAAAACGTGTCCAAGCTTATTTATTGTATTAGTTTATTCAATGGGGCTCTGATGCTTAATTTGGAGTAAAATTAAAAAAAAAGCATACTCATTATAGTGAGTATTAGTAAGAGTTTCGATACCTGACATGGTAATTACAACAAAATTAAATAGAGACTTTTTTATTTTGAACCCTTGCAGAAAAATGATCTGCAGATCATGTTGAAACGTAGCATAAGAAAACGTTGTCTGTCCATGATTATGATATCGACTTATCTATTGATTAAAAATTGAAAATTTTGTTTACGACATGTTTTTGTCTTTTAAGTCATAAAACAGCTGCTACCAACAAGTATTTAAGAATATTTTACTTTTGAGCTATACGAAGCTTATACCACAAAGAAAGTACAACGCCAAATTGTCAATAATTGGTGCATAAAACTGTGAAGTACCCAAGTCATTAAAATAAAATAATTGGTCTAAGACCTCTGCTGATTTATTTCTCAGATACAGTAATGCAGTACTCGAAAATTTTTCTCTACATTTTTACGTTTACTTTGTTTATTTTCATTAGTGCCTTCATATTTTGTCGAACTACCAAAATTAGAAGTATATACTTACAAAAAAAATGTCATCGAAGTTTACATTGTATTATATTTTGTTTCTTTGCGTGTACGTATGTGATTTTTGGAACATAGAGTCAAAGCATAGAAGAAATCTAAGGAAATGCACGATGGAAACTAATTTTAATTTAGTGATAGTAAGTTATAATCGTAAGCTATGCGTGATAAAATACATAATATTATGTTATAAAAAGTAATTATGTATTACTTGTTTGATTAGGGAAAAACAATTGACACTTGCTCAGAGAAAAGCGTGGTACTGTTTGGTGACGAAAAGGAAGATTTTACTTCATTGTTCAAGATTATACAAAAACCCATAAACATATTCCAATACAACATAGATTGGTTGAACTATAACACAGAATTTTCAGAAAATTATGAATTATACATGACAAATAACAACACAAGAAATTTTCCTAAAACTAGTGTGGTCATGACTATTACGTCAGAAAGACATTTAATAGCATTATTACAAAGTTTTGCGTATTCTATGCGATGGGATTACGAAGCTTATTACTTCGTGATAGATGATGATTTTCAAAAAAGTTGCGTCATGGCTGACTCCTATTTGCGCATCTTATGGAAATTCCACATTCTCAATGCTATATATTTCTGTATCACAAACAGCAACAAACTATCATTGTACACTTTTAATCCTTTCACAAACGCAGCACCAAAATTTTGGAATGCAGTTATGAACAAGACTTGTTGCAACGATACATGGACTTTGTTTGAACATTCCTCTTTTGGTTTGTATCTAATTTAAAAAAAAACTACACGATGATAGGGGCCGTAGAACCACTTGTTCGAATTAGTTTAATAAAAAACAAAATTTACCCCAATCACTAGTTTTTAATATGTTTGCACAAGCATCGTAAAAATACGAGTTACGTAGAAAATAATTTAATTTTTGGTTCTAATTTAATAATTTTTTAAAACATACCCGTAAAGTAAAATGGGAGACACACTTGTCGATACGTAAAATTTCTTTTTTTTTTACTGTAAAAAATTGCCCGGAACAAAGAAAAATGAAAATACATGCCAAACAACTAAACACGTTTTGCAAAGTGCGCAAAGAATTATGTTTGGATTACATTACACAGAAATCATTTGTAAGTTATGCAACATAAAAAATACAAAAGAATAGTGGCAATTAGTTGGTAATAATATTAATATTACAACATAAAATCACATGTGTATGGTCCAGTTTTATCGCAGCTGCGGAAAGTGCAGCCTGCAGCGGTGAATATGAAAAATATATGTG